CTGGCAAATCTTGGAGAAGGGGTTCATAGGTACAGATTTCTGAGGGGGGTCCCTGGTTCCCACCAAAGGCACCCAGACAGCTCTCCATGGCTGCATCCCCTCCTGGTTTCTGGTCCCCTGCCACCCATCCCCACATCACCATGCCCTTCACTGGAGGACACAGAGAGCCTTGGTGTCCTGGTGCAGAATGGTGCCCATGACCCTGCCAGGCAGTGATGGTGCTCCCTGATGAGAACCAGAGAGAGGATGCGCTGATGAGGCTCAACAAAGCAGCCCTGGAGCTGTGCCAGAACCCAAGGCCATTGCAGTCCAACCTCCTGCACCAGATGGGGTAGGTGCCCTGCCAGGAGAGCTGCCCCATCTCCTTCCCTTTGTGGCATCTGCAGGGGTCTTGGGACTCCAGGGCTCTGAGTTTCCCTTGAGCTCAGGTTGCTAGAGCATGCCGCAAACATTCCATGTTCTGGAACCCTGCGGTGCCTGCTGCTCACTGGAGAGCAGTCACAGCAGATCAAACACCTTCACTTTTTTTTCTTCCTGTTTTTTCCTTTTTCCTTCTCAATGAGCAGAGGAATGAAAAAAGGAGAAGCCAGAGGGCAGAAAGAAGGGTGGGGGCAGATTCCATTAAAAGCTTCACTTCTCTGCTGTCACCCTCCCTGGTGCCTGTTTGGAACTTGCTTGTATAGGCGTGGGGTCCTTTTCAAGGCCCTCAGGACAAGCCCCAAGAGCCTTATGCTGGAAGTCTCATGCAAGGTTCAGCCCCTCCAGTGGGACTGGGCCCAAGTCTGGCCCTGGCCTCAAGCCCTTTGAAGTAGGACTGAATTCATGCAGACCTCCTAACCCTAGTCCTGGGCCATGTTTTTTCTTGGTTGCCACCCAAGGCAAGCCAGAACCCCCTCCAAGCACTTGCCCTGGTGGGGAACAGTGAGGATGCTGGCTGCTCAGGCGTGTGGCATTTCCACAGCAGTTCCTGGCACCAGGGTCTTTGAAGAGAGGGACCCAAGCCTCTGCAGGTTCAAGGACAAATGAGGAGTGATGGCATTTCTCCACTATATCTTGCCCTCTAGTTTGCAGCTATGGCGAGATGTGATTGACAGCCTGGTGAGCCATTCCCTGTGGCTGAGGTCTCTGCTGGGCCTGCCTGAGAAGGAGACCATCTATTTGAATGTGCCTGAAGAGCAAGGTTAGATCTTGTGCAACCAACCACACCTCTGCATAGCCCTCCTCATCTCTCTGAATGGACAGGCAGCAGTGCCTGGGCCAGTCATACTCCTATGGTGGAAGCTCTGCTAGGCTGAGTCCATGGAGTAGGCCCCTTACCCCCTTCTGTCAGCTGCCAGGATGTGGTACCCAGAAGCTACCTTAGTGACCACCTTGGTTTAGTAATCCCAGCAAAGTTAAATGACTTATCCATGGTCGTTCATGGGAGCATGGCAGAGCCGGGACCAGAACACAGAAACACGACAGTCCTGTTTCATGAAGTCACGCGCCTACCAGGGCTCAAGGCTATTGTCCTTTGCTTTTCCACCTCCCCTCAAGCCTCCTCACGTGCCTGCAGCATCCACTAGGCTGCTGGGGGCCTGTCACATTTTCTTCCACCCACCTCCCTTAGATCAAAAATCACCTGCCATCATGGAAGTGAAGGTACCTGTGGGGAAAGTTGGGAAGGAGGAGCGGAAAGGAGCAGCCCAGGAAAAGAAGCAACTGGGGATCAAAGACAAAGAAGACAAGAAAGGAGCCAGGGTACTCGGGAAGGAGTCATGCTGGGGCGTGGTCTGGGCCAGGTGGGGCTGGGGAGGGGATTGGAGGGGCTGCAGATGTGGGGGCTGTGGAGGTGGGCATGTGCCCAGGCTCTCCCAGTGAGCTACTGTTGAGGACATCCTGGGCCTACCTCTGGTGCTCCTGAAGGCTGTGTGTGTGTCCCTCTCCCAGCAGGACCGTCCCAACAGCAAGAAGCACAGGGCAAAGGACGACAAGAAAGTCATAAAATCTGCAAGTCGGGACAGGTTTTCCTCGGAAGACCCTATCCCTGACATCAACCTCCCTTCTCAAGAACCCATAGACCCCCTGGTCATGGAGAAATACACCCAGAGGCTGCACAGCGAGGTGAAGGGAAGCACCCAGCAGCCATTCCCCCGCCTCCCACCTGCCTCATTCATTCTGTTCAGTCTGCAAACAATAAGTGCCCACTCCATCATGGTGGAAGCAGAGCTGCTTCAGGAAGGGCATCCTTGTGTGTGAGACAGGCCTCATGAATAAGAAATGTGCCTAGCATGTTAGGTGATGAGCACGATGTGAGAGAAGATAGACCAGGCAGGGAATGGAGGCACAGAGGCCTCAGTGAGGAGGTGACAACCCACGAAGACTTGAAGGGAGAGGAAGGGAGGCCAAATGGATGTCCAGTGAAGAGTGCTTTAGGCAGGGGGAGCAACTGCCACAGGAGGGAGGGGCCAGAAGGGACAGGGTGGTAGATGGGGAACAGGTCATAGGGGTGAGGGATGGT